GGGGGGGGCATACTGATAGCAGGCAGGCTGACACATGGTTGAGCCGGTGAGTTGACTTTTAAGGTCATGGGAGCTGTCACTGCTACAGGGCTGGCATCAGGTACACCTACATGTATGAGTAATAGCTGAGGGAAGACCAGCGTGGGGTCCGGGGGGAAAAGAGAGTGACCTAGTGGAGTACAGACGTGATTAAGCTGTCTCCTATATAGTTTAGCTGATGTAAATGTTTTAAGGGATTCTCTCAGGTGTTGTTATGGACTATTCAGACCATGATGTTGTACGCTGTATATAAAGTGTAAATAAATTTGTAAATATAACTTTGCTGTGAAATGTTGTATTCTTGAAACCTCCTACCCGTCACGCTACAGTATGTTCCTTCAGCATAAGTTAAAGTTCTGTATGTTTTCTCCTTTCAACATATCCGAGGAAGGATTCTCTATGTTTACCTAGTAAAACAGAGGAGACGTTTTATCATCTTAGATTATCTTATTAATATTACCTCCCGATTAGCAACACTTTTGACCTACATCAAAGTAGAAAGGGAACAAAATCTGTCCTCGGTGTATATCATATGCATTATACATATACTTACCAACAACAACAAAAAACCTCAGTAGATTATCTTTATATCCGCTGTACATATATTTAAAAAGAGAGGATGGGGACCTACACTGTACCTATACATGAAAGGGTGTTGGGGGGCATACACTGTACTTATACGTAATATGGAAGTGTAGGCACATACACTGTACCTATACAGCGTAAGCGTATCAGCGTTCGATCATTATTGTGTTTTTCTATATTACAGACATTATGCTGAATTTTTTCGACGGTGCTGCCGCCGTTGCCACTGTCGCCGCCGCCGTCGCCAGGAAATACTGTACGTTACTCCTATTTTATTCAAAGATAAGTTTGAGGTATAATAAGCATGCCATGAGTAAGCTTCAATGTCCCTTTTCTATTATCATTTTGTTGTTTAACTATTGCTTTTTAATCGAGCAATTGTTGATATTGCGATTTGTTCCCATACAAAAATCGAACATTTATCCCGAATTTCTGCTGCACATAATTTAATTTTAATTGCCTAACCATATGTTCATTTTTGAGTATATTTCTGACAGTTTATGTGTGGATGTATGCAAGAGCCGGGGTATGTTCGTGTAATTATAGCCTCTTTGTGAAAGTGCAGATTTTATGCCGACTATATACTGTAATCTCACTGAAATGCAATGCGGGAAAACCCCAGCAGATGGTTGATTGTTTGATACTGTATAACGTCCTTATGTGTACATGTCTGTATGTTTGTCCGGTCATTGACAAGTAGCATGCTTTGATAGACTGCTGTAAAGCTTCAACAAATACATGATCTTGAACCTACTTTAAGATCACATGGTGAAAATGTGTTGATAACATTAATGATATCTGAAATACCGATAGGCAACAATTTATGATATCTTGGCTGATATCATGTTGGTTTGCAGTATTGCTCTTTATGTGGAGATATTTGCATATTAACTTAAAGGTGAGCGATACAGACCATATTGGCGTCATGTCAGCATACTGCTATCGAATCGGTCGACGATTTCCGACTGGCCTGACATTTATAAATGGTGTAAAATGCATCGATTATTAGGAATTTATATATCAATTTTCATGGTTTTGAAATATGGAAAAAGGGAACAATTCCAATGCAAATCATGTTTTTAAAAGGTCAGGAAGAAAATATGATATATATATATATCCCTTCACCTAAAGTTTAAGTTTGGTATGTTTTTTCTTTTCAACACATCCGAGGAAGGGTTCTCTTTTTTTTCCCTAGTAAAACAGAGGATAATTTTTATCATCTTAGATTATCTTATCAATACCCCCCTCCCGATTAGCAACACTTTTGACCTACATCAAAATAGAAAGGGAACAAAATCTGTCTTCGCTGTATATCATATGCATTATGCAAATAATTAACAACAACAACAACAACAAAAAAACAGTAGATTAAATGTATATCCGCTGTACCTATATATAAAAAGGGAGGATGGGGACCTACACTATACCTATAAATAAAAGGGGATGGGGGGGATACACAGTACATATACGTAAAAGGGAAGGGCAGGGACATACACTGTACCTATACAGCGTTAGCGTATTAGCGTTCGATCGTTATTGTGTTTTTCTATATTAGAGACATTATGCTGAATTCCTTCGTCGGTACCGCCGCCGTTGCAGATGCCGCCGCCCCTTTCGCCGCCGTCGCCGTCGCCTTCGCAACGGGTGCGGCTGCTGCCGCCGCCGTTGTCGCCCCCATCACCAGGAAATACTGTACGTTACTCCTATTTTTTTCAAATATAGGTTTTAGGTATAATAAACATGCCATGAGTAAGCTTGAATGCCCATTTTCTATTATCATTATGTTGTTTAACTATTGCTTTTTAATCGAGCAATTGTTGATATTGCTATTTGTTCCAATAAAATTAAACATAAATCCCGAATTTCTGCTGTACTTAGTTTAATTTTAATTGCATACAGTGCTCAATTTTTGTGTATATTTTTGACAGGAAAGCATGATTACCTGAACTTTTGTCTTGCAAAGCGATCATCATTGTGATAGTTAAATTTGGTTTTATTTTGTTTAACGTCCTATTAACAGCTAAAGACATTTAAGGACATGTCTCGATGTGTGTTGTGTATGCGTGTATGTGTGGATGAGTGCAAGAGGCAGGGTATGTTTGTGCAATTGCCTCTTTGTGAAAGCGCAGATTTTATGCTGACTATACACTGTACTGTTATCTCACTAAAATGCCATGCGGAAGGAACCAAGCAGATGGTTGACAGTTTTATACTATTTCACGTCCTATTATGTGTGCGTGTGTGTATGTGTGTCGGGTATTTGACAAGTAGCATGCCTTGATAGAGTGCTTTAAAGCGTCAACAAATACATGATCGTGAACCTACTTTAAGATCGAAAGGTGAAAATATGTTGTTAACATTTATGAAATCTGAAATACTAATAGGCAACATTTTATGATATTTTGGCTGATAGCATGTTCGATTACAATATTGCTTTTTATTGTGGATTTTTTTTATATAAACTTAAAGGTGAGCGACGTAGGCCATCTTTGCGTCATGTCTGATCGGTCGACGTCGTCATTTATAAATGGTGTAAAATTCATCGATAATTAGCAAATTATATTTTATTTTTTATGGTTTTGAAATATGGAAAAGGTGACAATTCCAATGCAAATAATGTTTTGAAAAGGTCAGGAAAAATGTATGATATATATATTCCTTCAGCTTAAATATAAATTCAGTATGTTGTCTCCTTTTAACACATCCGAGTAAGGGTCCTCTATTTTACCTAGTAAAACAGAGGATAAGTTTATTCATCTGAGATTCCCTTATGCTTATATATTTAGATATCAGAAGGATATAATGTATGTCATTTTGTCATGGAAAAGGCGTAACCCCTTATTTCGTCGCTTTTCTCAGCTGTTTTATGTCTGTTGTTTTAATTATGACTTATCATTTTCTATCCATAGATCCACAGAATGGTAAGTATATACATTTTATCAGTTTGATCATCTGCATCAAGATTGTTCAAAGGCATATGAAAGTATAAAAAGTAAACTTATCTTTTCTTTTCTCATAACAAATAAGAAAATAGTTCACTTTTAAATACCACAAACATATCACGAGCATGTCAAACTTGATGTACCTCACGAGTGTTAAGCATGAGTGAACAATATTGGCTTGGTGTGTATGTGATTTAACGTGCGTTTAACAACAAAGGTCATGACATTCCCCAAGATCATCTCCAGCAAGAAAGAATAATAATTGACAGAGAAAGAACAAATATCCAAAGATTCAAAATAAGGGCAGCATATCAAATTTGATTTCTCCAATATCCTTTAAGAGAAGACTTAACAATGTTCCCGACTATGCAATGATGTTTTATTTGTTGTCTCTCATGATAACATGCTATTAAATACAATTTAATACGTTCCTTGAACCCGAAGAGATTTTTAAAGGATACGTTTTTTTCGTGACTTGTGGTCACAATACAAATGCAATTTCAACCAAAAAATATACTAATTAACTTACAATCAATTAAGTATAATGTGTCAAAATTTCTATTGTCTTTACGTATGTGAATTATGACTAAGATATTGAACAGGTAATACGGAATGTTAATTACATTTCCGAAAAGACGAACATGTATAAATAAGCACGCTGAATAACACAGTGTTTTTGTTACTACTACATATTTTGTCCACAACAGTCAGAGGCCACACACCTATCCTGGAGTAGACACGATCTCCCTTTCTGCAAGATTCCCCTTAAATTGTTTTTAAAAAAGTTCTGGAACACCATCACCCCCCTTACTTGGACATTGATTATATATAGGTAGTTACACCATTAAACATATAGTTTTAAAGCACACCGAGTAATCTAGCTGAGCCATCATTGTCCACTCCAGCCGAAGCCTTGTCTAGCCTCTCTATTCAGAGGCTCACATTCCTGAATCTTGAATACCGACTCTCAACTCTAAAACTCCCTATGAAATTCTTCCTGAAGTACATGTAACGACCATGTGACAAATATTATTCATAAGCATGTACCACCTGTCTTGTATATATATTATGAGACACGTGCAGAGATGAAAAGTAACTTTCTCCCATCAAAACGTACATGTCTTATTTTTCGTTGGTTATTTCTTAAGTTTAACCCTATGACTGATCGTCAACAGATGCCTGCCTTCACTATCTTCCCGTGCAACACTGTACATGCCAATTAAGAAACGGCCTTAACCAGATTATAGGATTCGACCTCAATTGCGTTTTGTACCGACTTGCTTTTCCCTATTTATATACCTCTTACTTTTACGATACATATATGCCTCGTTTTTCATTACATACAAAGCTATCGGCCTATTTTATTACAAGCGTCACTATATCCCAAATTTTGAGGATTACAAGAAAAATATTTGACGCCATTTTGAGTTAACAGACCTGTCGACGCAATTCGGTCTCCGGTGTTCATGACATCACGATTAAGGATAAGGGTGCGTGCTATTATGAAAGACCTGGTCGACGCAATTCTACTGGATTTCGTTCTCATATTTTAAGGTTTAATCAAATGGTGTTACTAATTTTGTACTTCTGTAAATACTTTATTGTATGTAGCTGATATACACTAAAATAGTTATTTATTCTAAACTCACTTTATCTTCATCTGTATAGTTGATTTGGTATATAGAGTTTATCATCCTATGAACAGGAAGGCGATTGCGGACGTGCCTTTATGCATGTGTACTTAAGGCTTAATTTTGGTGTACAGGAACTGCAATTATCATCTATATACTTTATTATACCACCTACCGGTAGCATGATACATTCATTATCATTGTGAGAATAACAATATCATTTCAGGTGTTAATATGGATATGGAAAAGCCAATGACGATAGGTTTGTTCAAAAAAATAAAATATCTACGTAGTTTTAAGGTTCATTATACTCCTCTAAAAATATATATTTGTTTACGATTGTAGCAGGCGATCGTTAGCCAGTGAATTTAGGAGTCATTTGTAAAACATGGTGTTTAGTTGAGTTTTTTAAATGGAGAAAATGTATAAGGTAGTAGTATATAGATGATAAATAGTTTATCATACAGTATTTTCAGTAATTTTCACTGAAAATACAGTGTGATCATCTATAAATATCTTGCTTCGAAATGCAATGATAAAAAATACCGTCCTGATATGTCAATAATTAAAGAGATTTATTAACACTGGTAGATATCAATTCTGATACCAGTCACATTGATATAATCAGGTACATTACTGGCAAATTATGGAATTACTGCAGATCACACATTATATTGGTCGTGGTTATGCACCTGTTGTACGAGTGTAATAATCGATTAAGAAATCCTATATTCTTATTAATGCTAGAGGTACATATCATGAATGTAAAAATTACATATATTTAGTACATATTATTTTTCTTATTCATAAAAGTTTCCTACATGCACGAGCTTACCCTTCAAACTGAAAAACATATATAATAACCCCCGTAACAATATGCACGTACAATGTATACTTAAAGAAGAATCAGCTACATTTTCAAACTAAAATAAAGGATGTATAACAAAAAAACTTGTTTATCTGTGAATGAAATTAATTTAATAGACATGGTATAACATGTAAACATTTCAAATCTCCGATGCATGTATTTGCATGACTAATAGTTAAGCACATTATCGGTCTCTAAATCCTACGAAAATTCTAAAAGTGTATGAAAGTATTAAATTAAAGATGATATAACAAATAGAAATAGAGGTACTGGATCCTTAACACAGGAGTCTGAAATTATATCATTTTTTATTATCATTAGGCTTATTAATAATTACGTTTCTCGTTAAAAAAAAATGTAACAAGTTTACTTACTGTCAATACTAATTAGTCTTTTATTCGGTAAACAGGTGGAAATACTTCTGACCATAACTGATAAGTATATGTGTGTCGCGTTGATCTGTTAGCGTACGTCAGGTCTTTGTGATGGATATATTATATGTACCAATATTTGATCGACCTTTATCTTTATAAATCACGAGACATTTCTGTTTGTTTCACACTCATCCAGTATGCAAACGAAATGGCCAAATTTAAATCGTTCGTATGTGCCTCGATCCTCGTAGCCTACAGTGTACTGACGTTTCTTCCAATGTGGGTATGTTCGTTTCGTTTTAGATATTTTATGTGCTTCCGCTTTTTATGTAAACCCGTTCTTGTCACAACAAACGAATCACCGTTTGTAAGCGTCATCCGTAGCACTTCCGTACCGTTTGCGTAACACTTCCGTACCATTTGCGTAGCACTTGCGTACCATTTCCGTACCGTTTGCGTAGTACTTGCGTACCATTTCCGTACCATTTGCGTAGCACTTCCGTACCGTTTGCGTCCAAGGTGGAACAGCGAACGTGTACGGGTCTTTACCAACAAAGGGAAGTAAACTGAAAAATGAAAACCTGAATAGGTTTCTAGTTTTCATGAACAAAGTTTCATTTTGGTTGAAATACGATGCTTTAAGATCATGTGCATATGAAAAACAAAACAGTACAGTGATACTATGGTGTTTCTGTCTTGTTTGATGACGTCATAGTTATTGTGATGTCATCATACGTATGTCGTCATCAATAGTCATCTATGACATCATCAAGGCTCACCGATATAAAAATGAATACCATGAAACCCATCACAACAACAAACTAGCAACAAACACACTTCCCGTTACCGATGAACAGCACAAAAAAGTCAGATATCCTGAAATATCAGACAAATGACACCATAGCAACCGTTGTTTACTTTCCTTGCCTAGAACTGACAGTGACCCCAGACATTGTTCATTTAACATATTTAGAAAAACATGTTTTCTTCAGCTGTAATTGTGGAAATGAAATTTATTGACATTATTGACTTTGCTAATATAATCTGTATGCTGAATCAAGTGGAAAAAACATAAAATAGAATAATTAGAATGAAAACAGATATGTTACCCATTTTCGATAAATACAACTTTATGTATTATTTACCAGGATACCGGGTGCTGAACTGAGTGATATAGACTGTAATCTAGTCCGAATGCATCAGGAGATAGCCAGTGAATTATTTGTTGTTTGGTATCAACTGTACGAATTACGCAATTGACACATATGTGATGAATTGTGAAGTGCCTGTGAAAAGAGCGAGTTAACCCCCCCCCCCCTTTCATACATCCCACATGTGACCTATATCTGTAAATTTTTAAAAGTGTTTGTGTAGTTGAAAGCAATAATAAACGAAAGTGAAGCTGAATCAAGCATAAAAAAGGCTTTTTTTTCAGAAAAAAACCCAATTTATATGTGTATAAGGTAGCAGTGTACCGTAGAAATGGCTTGACCCTAAAAATAAAGGGCATGTCTCACATACACATGGATAGTGAATTCAACCTGCACAACACACCTACATATATATACATGTTTATAAACTACATTTTGATTTCATTTTGTTTAGAAGACTGAAGTATTTTTCAAAAACTGTTTTCCCCAGATTTGGGACTTGTGAAAACCATGGTTACCACATCAAAAAACACCAAAATATGAAAAAAATCATGATTTTTAACCCAAAATGTTACCCCCGCAAGTATAATTGTTTTTCTTAAAACCCGTCTGAAATTAAATATAGCCTACTCGGTAACAGAAATACTCACGTATTAGCATAGGTCATTCCGGTGGATTTTTCACAATATTTACACATGTGCTGAGTACAAAAATAGACTACATGAAAAGCTAACCATTGTACGCTAGTGTACACTGCTACAACGTACCTTACCATTATCATCATTATAATCATGACTGAAATCTACATCATCATCACACTGGTGGTGTCGGCATCATCAAACTAATACCATAATAATATACATCATCGCCATAATCTTTACTAAAATCAACATCATTCTCACAATACTTTCATCATCACCTCACTGTCGTCGTCATCATCAAACTGATATCATTA